CCCCCTCCCCAGCCCTAGAATCTGAGCATCATTAAGGTTGGAAAAAACCTCTAAGATCACCAAGTCCAACCTGAGGGATGCTCCCATGGGGGGCCCAGCCCACGCCCTGGTTCTGGGGGATGCTGCAGCGGGGGAAGTCTCACGGGTCTGGGCAAGCGGTGGTGGTGATACCCTCATCCCTGCAGCACACACATCCCGCACGAGATGATGTTAAGCAGCCCTGCTGTCCCTCCAGACTGGGTGACTATGAGTGAACGCACTGTGGTAAGAGCTTTGGCTTTCTCCCACAGACCGGAGACAAAGTGCCCTGCTGTGTTGCTGAAAGCTGAACAGGGAAAAGCCTTTCTGGGATCTTCACTTATTTTTTGGTCAGCCTGGTAGGAGCTGTTGGATACAACTGCCTATGCATAAGATTTTAGGAAAACAGGCAAATATCCCGTGGGGAACATAAAAGAATGAAGGTGGGTGTATTTTCGTAGAAGTTTCTCACAAATTTGGGGGCCTGGATTGCAAAACTTCTGGCAATTGGGAGATTTAAATACTTCTGAAAGAAACCAAACAAGAACATAAAGTCTGGAACCTGAACTACTCAGCACATCACACCCCTCATATCCATCCCGAACTACATCAGCGTACTCACACCAGCTCCATGGGACCAAGACTCAGGCACAAAAGGAGGACACCCTGCTGGCGCTGCGATTTGGCTCCTCATTTTGGAGGAGAGGCTGAGGCTGTCACCTGTGTGCTTACCAGGCACAGAGCCTGTTTGAACTTGTGGTGGGTTTCTGGCAATGACTGCCCCTCTTCCTCACTCTTCACTTCCACAGCCCATTTCCAATAGGTGTGAGGAAGTGGGGTGGACATCCTGGGGGTTGGCGTTATGCCAGATACTTTGCCTAATTCTTTCCTCTTCCTGGGATGACAGTCTCCCAAGAGTTGCTGACCCTATCAAGCTGTTCCTGCCTTGTAGCACATCTCTGCTTCAGACATCTTGCTGGATTTTGTTGACGGACTTGACTGCTAGCATCCAATCAGTGGGGTAATAGCCAGACCTTGTACTGGTGTCAAAGTCAGGCTTGTCACAAGCCACAGCTCTGTCCCCTGGTCCTACCTGCTTAAGCCACCTGGGTGTGCGGGATCTGCTAGGGCACTGAGACAAAAACCAGCAACACACCATCTCACAAATTCTTTGCCTTGATCTCCCAAGGACATCAGCCAGGCACCCAGGAAGGGCTAGACAGAGGTACTAGCTAGCTCGTGGAGCACTTGCTGCTCATGTGGTGAGAGTTTGTATCTTGCCCTATGGAGGTAATGAGGTGTATACTGGGGCCATGCTCAGAGAAAGGGACCTCTCACATTTAAGCCATGTCTAAGTTTAAGAACTGGGCTTCTGTAGAAGGTACAGATGGCATATAAGGGCAAACTTTTTGACCCTGGAGACAGCCAATCAATGGAGCAAGTCATGCAGGGAAGTTGTGCAGCCTCTGTCCTTGGAGGTTTTCAAGATCCAGCTGTGTGAGGCCCAGAATAATGTGGTCTGACCCCAACAGCTGACCCTGCTTTGAGGATGACATGGGACGAGATCTTCTGGGATCCCCCCACTCATCTCAGGGTTATTCTGTCTCTAGAGCTGTGTCCATATGCTCTGCTCACCTGGGGTATCCAGGAGAACCTGCCTGCTCATGCAGCCCTTGCCCATACCTTTTCCTTGGAGATGGGGTGTTTGCCCTGCCTCTTCCCCATAGGAAACTCCCCTCATTCCCCATTCCTCTACACTTCTCCCACTTGCTGGAATGGCAGCCCTCAATTTAGGGGGAATATAGTATAACAGATATTTGCATTTTTTTTCTATTCAAGACTGACAGAAGATGGACAGAGAACATGGAAAAGCATTTGGTGAAGTGAAAGGACCTGTATTTCCTGTTTAAAATTGGGGAAATTTCTGAAATTTCCGCCCTTTTAATGTAAATTCTCCCTTCTCCAAGCCATTCCCTCCTGAAAAGACCCTACCAGTTCCATACCTAAAACTCACTTCTCCCTAAATGTTCCTGCTCAATGTTCTGGCCTCTCAGCACATTCTGACACCTACTTACCTATGCAGACACTTCAAGAGGTGATTTCTGTTCTCCTAAGCTTTCTTTTTTTTGCCTAGTCTTGGGCTTTACCTAGCACTCCCTCCCCTCCTTTCCTTCATACTGTAAGACCAGGCTCATTAGAAAGAGCACAGGCAGCACGGAGACAAGGGCTTGGGAAAACTAGTATGTACTCACATTTCCAGCCCAAGTGTCCACCAACCAGCAGTCCTTCACACTCCTGCAGTGCATTCTCACTGGGAGTGGGTGGCTTCTTTCCATAGCACAGCCTGACCGCCCAGGGAAATCCTCCCTCTCAAAGAGTCTTTTTTAAGTCAAGTCTTCCTGCAGGTGCCTCATGTTTTATCACTCCACAGCTGCATCCTGAAATACTGTTTTCTTTCATATCCATGTTCCCATATTGCACAAAAGGGTCTGGAGTTGTATCTGATACAGTTTCAAGCTGTTCTTGAGTAATTCTTGCTGGTACTGGTTTGCAAAGAGTTGCAAATAGAAATAGTCACGTCTGAGAGCCTGTGGGATCACCTTGGAGATATTTGAAAGCCATCTGGACAAGGTTCTGGGCAACTTGCTCTAGGTGGCCCTGCCTGAGCAAAGTAGTTGGACAGGATGACCTCCAGAGGTCCCCTCCAACCTCAGCCACATTCTGTGACTCTGTGACATCACGTGGTAAGATCCCTAACCATGGCCACACAGCCGGAGATATGTCACGTTGATCTCTCCAGAAAAATAACGGATACTGGGCCATGAACCCTGGATTCAGTTTCCTGACACTCTTCTGGTATGGCAGCTGGAGGCCTTTTGGGTACGTCACACTGTACATCCCTTGGCTAAGCTGCAGTATAGGTGTGACATGGAACATCCTTGGCTGCCCGCGGTCCACAGGGTTATCTGTTACATTTGGGTTGGCAGATATAACACATGCTTATGGGAAACGCAAATCTTTTTGCACTGGGACCAATACAAGATGATGTAGGACATTTCCAGCAGCAGTAGGTATCTGTGTTCAGGCAGCCAAATCAAGCTCCTCTCAGCTATTCACTCCTTAAATGCTGCTGATTTTATTGGCTAGATTGTCATTGATTTTGATGGGCATGTAGGTACTGACTTCTGTGTAGATAACTACAGTCAGATGTCATAATCTTGAACTGAATCCGCTTCCTATATCCAGTCAACAGAATCTCTCTCCTTACTCTTTGCTTTCTGGTGGGAGGAACAGATTACCATAGGATGATCTATATCAATATGCCAGAAATCCATTAGTGTATTTTTCCTAAAAAAACACACAACTTTTTTTCCTGACTTTGCTGGAATTTTGCTACAAATTAGGTTTTTGTATTCTGGAGTCATGTGTTCTTATGACCGTGATTTATTTAAGACATGCTTGAAAGATAACCATTGTGTAGAAGAGGGAAAAAGGCTTAAATATTTTGTAGTTCATGTACAGAATTTGTGGCTTATTTCTGCAGTCTCTGTAATATTTTGGACAATTACATTAAGTATATTCCTTTATTCCTTATACAGATTATGTAAATTTCTTAGTATTTTCCAGCAAAAGCTAAAATGTCCAAACTCTTTACAGACTTTGAGGAACACATCAATTTTTTAATTTTTTTAACCTTTCAAGTGTGAACAATTTTCAGAAAATCAGTGAGACTATCTAGGCGAAGGTACCTTGTTGAAAAATTGCCTCCTCCCAAATGTCTTCCTCTGAGCATGCTTTACTTCTCTGTTTCATAAGCTGTAGATGACTGGGTCCTGCACTGCTCCAAGGGGGGGGACATAGAAGATTTGGGAATGAAAGAGTGAAGTTGAGCCCAGGCAAAAGGGGAAGGTGGGGGAAGGTGGTTTAGTTTTGTCTGTGTTTCTCACCATCCAATCTATTTTAGATGGCCATAAAGTAAATTAATTTTTCCCAAGTTAGTCTGTTTTGCCTGTGATGCTAATCAGTCAATGATCTCCTGGTTCTTACCTCAACATAAAACGTTCTTCATCTTGTTTCCTCCCCCTGTCCTGTCCTGTTGAGGAGGGGGCGTGAGAGAGCAGCTGGGTGGGAGTCTGGCTGCAGTCCAAGGTCAACTCATACATGTGGCTAGTAGAAGTTACAAGTGTTGGTAAGAGGGAATTTGAGAAATAAGAAACCGATAAAATGGGAAATAAAAAGAAAGGTGTGGAGTAGAAGAACAAAGTATTTTAATGCAGTGTGGGTTAGGTAAGTGGAAAGGTTTGAGTAGGCTACAGAAATGAAACAAGCTGTAAGTGGGATGGTCGGAGGATACTTCGATCTGTCAGATAACGTCGGACCTGAGCAGGACACAGAATGGAAATGTGGAATAAGGGGTGGAGATTCTACTGTGTCTGTCTGGGATGGAGTCAACTTTCTTCGTGGCAGCCTGAGTGGTGTGGTTTGCCTCTGTGTCTCAAACACCAATATTTTGGCTGTTGCTGAACAGAGCTTGTACAGAGTCAAGTCTTTCTCTCCAGTCCCAGCCCCAACAAAGACCAGTAGGCTAGGGGTAGGGAAGAGGCTGGGAGGGGACACAGCCGGGACAACTGACCCAAACTGCCCAAGGGGCTATTCCATACCACGTGATGTTTTTCTCAGCAATAAAAGCTCAGGGAATGGAGGAGGAAGGGGGCAAGTTCATGATTAAGGTGTTTGCCTTGACTTGGACAGGTTAGCCATGCTGAGCCTCTGCTTCCTACAATGTGGCTGGACATCTGCCAC